TATAAAAATTAGACGAATTTGGTTCGCTGAGAGAAAAGTATATAAATGTATTTACGCGATACATTGCACAATCCAGCGAAAATCAAAGTTGTTGCGGCACTACTTACTACACTCTACTTTTACACGTAGAAACAGAGAAAGAATCAGAAATGAGGACTGTATATATCGCGAGCAACAGAGGCATTCAATGCAGTCAGTAGGAAAAGTCGATTATGCTACAGAAAAAGAAAAAAAGGTCTTGAATAATGGATTGCTCTGTTTCTCTTTACTTTTGTGTCATACACTACGCGTATTATTCTTTTGCAGTAGAAATAGCTCGCTCTTATGTGTATGCGTATATATTCGAATTTATTGAAAGGTTTGCATCTTTCTTTCCCCTACTTCCACTCTTTATATTATATTGACTTGATTTTATCGAGTGAGTTATTACTGTCCGCCGTTATGCTGCCTTTTCTTTATGAATATTTCTGCTAACGTGGAATATTAAAGTATGATTTATAAGAAAGGTGGACATTATGAAATTTATACATTACATTTTATCCAGCTTCCAGTCAAAAGTCATCAATTTAGGCATCGTTAATGTTGTTATTGTCACGCTCGGTCATTATTGAAGTGGAACATTGCACAATTGATTCAAAGCGAACTGCATGCTTTAGGCGTTGTACGCGCTTCATGCTAAGGCGCTTTTACAATTATGAAGCGTTAATCTAATTACTCATTGTTACTTTGCTGATTAGGCATTTTTTCAAATCTATATGGATACTTTGGGGTAGTAGAGTAAAATGGAAATAAATACATGTGCCGTCAGAGGTGGAGCAGCACAGATGCAGACGACCATTGCGCACGAGTGGAGGTTTGATGTGTGCTGCGCTCGTGAGCAGGCGTCGTGGTCCTCATCGCCGTCGTCGCAGAGAAACAAAAAGCAGAAGCGCGCGTGCTGCAACGAGAAGGTATATAATGTCAGACGCAAGGAGAGAGCGAGAGAGGGGGAGAAACGGCGCGCATAAGAGTATAATCAGGATTTGTAGCTTAGCAAAAGTAGCAGTGTATATACGCGCGGCAACAGCAGCAGTAATAGTGCTAGTAGTCCAAAAGAGGGGTTGCTTGCTTTTCTCGTCGGTCTGCACTCGAGTAAGGTCTTGGCTGCTATTTCTACTGCTACTGTTACTGCTACTGCTAGTCGCGAAGCGTTATTAAGGCGCGACAAGAACTCGCAGGCGGCGAGCACATGATGAGCGAGACCGCGTCGCGCCAGAAGATACCGGCGTGATTTATGCGACAGGGACATCCACAGCTACTACCTTCTACTCCCTCTCGCTCTCTCTCTCGCTCTCTCTCTTGCTCGTACTCGACGACAGTATGAAAGAGAGAGAGAGGGAGTAGAGGGAGAAAGAGACACTGGTCTCTCTATCTGACTAGTCCTCCTGCAACCCTTATGTAAATACGCACGTACCAAGTGCATGATGCATCCTTCTCTCGAAGCTTAATGCCTCTCCAGTATCATCTCGCTCTTTCCCTTCCTTCTCGTCTCTCTTTCTCCTTGACTTTTGTCGCACCCACCTATCTCGATAACTTCAACAACTTGGACCCTGTGCTGTAACGCTGATGACGTGCTCATGCCCAACTACAACCAACTGTATTTGCATGCAGACGCGAGGATAAATAATGCGCTCGGATAATTAACATTGTTACTGTTTTATGGTCACGTCGCGAGAGAGCTGTGCAGACTTGAGCCGAGCTGTTTTTGTTTTTTCATTATCACTCACGGCCCTCTACTGTAATTATCAACAGACCGCCGCTACTGAGCATTAACGCCTTGAGCGCGAATACTACTTCGCTTTTGCGCTGGTCAGACTGTACCTCGTACTCTTTATAGTGTAATTATGATGAGACTACTTGCAGGCTCGTTTACGTTTGATCTTGCTTCAAAGTAAGAGCATGTATCAATTTTTTCAGCTGTATGCGCGTCTTTGCTTTCGAAAATTAATTTTCCAATTTTTTAGTCAGAAAGTAATCAAGTCTTATTTCATCGTAAAGGGAGGTCACAATTATTTCAAGAATGATGTACATGTATAGGCTAAACCATAGTTGGCGTGATATGCCAATAATAGAAATTAAAAACTTGAATTTACTTTTAAAGAGTAGATCGAACAATGAAAATTCTTAAAATTGGATTTTTACTTTTATCATTCCATTCTACTTTTCTGGAGTTAGTATGGAAAAATTGTAGAATCGTGATTTTTGATTCAAATTTGTTGTCAAAAAATATATTTCTAACCTTGAAAACCCCCAAAATATTAAAAATAAGATCAAACTTCAAAAATAAACTTGCTCGCCTACAACAGGGTTCGACTGCTGTGGGTCTCTGCACACATAGGAATCCTAGAGAAGAAACTGTTGGACTAGTTTGTTAACCTGGGAGCAACAGCTCCAGAACAAGGAGTTGAGCCTTTCGTGGGGGTGGTCAACTGTTGCTACAAAACCACCGTCGACGAGTAAATTACTAAGCCACTCAGTGTGGTGGGCAGTAGTCAGGGGCTTAAAGCAAAGAGTGAGAAAAAGTAGTAAAAAAATCTAAAAAAGGTCATACTAAGGTTTTTACGAATGTTGAATCCAAATCCGAGGTCAGATGCCGACGAAGTCAGCTGTACCATGAATAAAAACAGAAGTTGTGCCTGGATCAGAGCAGCAGTGAGCTTAAATATAAAGTAGTAGTAGCTGTTGTACCAAAATGGGGGCAACTGTCGTACCTAAATAGGGGCAACTGATGTACGTAAATAGTAAATTGGGGTAGCTGCGGTGCCAAAATATGGGTAGCTGCTGTAAAAACATTGAGGCAGCAGCTTCGCCTATACAGTGGCAGCAGATGTACCAAAATCTCCATTCTTACGCACAGCTGCTTCTTTTTTTGGCACAAAAACCTTAACCTCTAGAGGGCCGGAATAGTATATTTCTCAACGGGTGCACATATGGTTTTTTAGCAAAACGAGGGATTATAGCACGAGCCGAAGGCGAGTGCTGTAACGAGTTTTGTTAAAAAACCATATCTGCACCAGTTTGAGATACTATTTTTTCCTACGAGAGCCTAAAACTAGCGGCAAAGTTGCGTATTTTAGGTTAGAGTGGGAAAAAACCAATATTTTGATTGACACTTTGCCTATGATCGATCAATGATTTAAGATATCTTTTATACCAGTTTTTTATGGGTGATATGACCTCTTAAATCCTCTAGAGGTTAATATAGATTTTTTTAAAATTGCTTACTACTTTTTTCAATCTGACCTTCAAATAAAACCAACCCTTAAAAACCAATGCCGATTCAGATTCAGCAATCCCGAATGTATATTTGGTCCAGACTTTGAAACTAAACTTTTTCATTTTTTTCTATGCCTGTGTTATTAATATTAATGATCCTAACTGGTGTTAATATTCCTACATGTATCAAGATATATCCTTATCTCCAAATATTCGTATACCAAAGGGTTGATAATGTAGCTTCAGTAACTATGGCTTATTTATTAATGCCTTTGAATTTCCTTCCATCTCCCCATTTAAAAAATTATGTTTCTAGCTAAAGCAAAACAGAGGCCTCAGAGCGAAGTGCAGAACCTTTGGAGTTTTGCGGTCGATGTTTTATTTTTTGAGTTTCATTGCAAGCAACAACGGTAATAGTCAAGCTAGTGGTAGTGTACTGTCACCAATAAGTCAAACTTATCCCTGGCAGAGAAAAATTCCAGGGCTTCGTGGCTGAGAGAAAAATCGGGTGGTAGCTTTCTTGTTGATTTGTGGTGAGTAACATTTCGCTCAGCTATCGTGTTCCCGCAAGCCCACACAAACGTGCCAATGAGCTGGACAGTCGTAAATATATTTCCCCACCTACATGTACATACAGCCATCTCAAAGCATCTAGTGCAGTACTTTCCAGACCGACGACATACAGAAATGAGTTGTGCGATAAGAACAGCCAGGGGGCAAAGAATCGACGTTCTATACATAAGATGTATTACGTAAATTGTGATACAACAAAAAAATTAACACTTGGAATGTACTATTATTGAGAATATTAAATATGAAAATCCGAGAAATGTGTGCCCGTTCTTTGGATTATTCACGGATTAACAAAGGCTCAAGGTTACATTTTTATTTTCTATAAGTTATTCATTTATCAATCAATGGGGTTTCAGTGACATTGATGTCTCAAATTTTAGTATTTTCATTTTTCAACACGCTGTATAAGAGTGCATTCTTAGTTCAGTTATGTTTTTTGTTTATATCACTATTTTTACGATTCCAATCGATTTCAGTTTGAATAAATTGATTCGATTAAAATTAAATTTTGCAATTCATTTATCACTCCTTATTAATATATAACGATATATTACGATAATTATAATAGAATTTATCAGTGTAAATGTACAAATAAAATATCGTGTTCTTATATAAATAAAGAATATAAAAAAACGAAATAGACAAGATTGAAAGATAACATTTCTTTACGATTTCAAATATTTTTTGCTATCGTGCAATGCTGTTTGGTAAAGCTAACAATTTCATAGTTATGAAAAATTGAAATGTTCGTTTTTTTCCTTTACAATGTATTATTATATCGGGAAGTTCTTATTATCGCTACTGCCGCAAATCACGCGATTACATCAGATGACTTGTACTATTCGAAATGTTATTAAAGATTTAACCTTGACATTGACAACAATACTCTACTTATGATGATCAGCTATATGAGCATTTTTGTGAATTTTAAATAACTTTCTCTCGAATTAAAAATTATTTATATGTTTTTACGTGATTCGGTAAAAATTATTAGATTGAAATAAAAATTCATTTTTTATAAGTTTTTTATATTATAAGTGGAAGAAAATAAAAAACTCTCAGTATTTCATAATTATTATATTTAAAATTATATTTTCTATGTAAAAATTAAAACAGTAGTAGATTGAAATTTCTGTAATCAGTTGTAATAAATATAACTTTTTCACTGGCAGTACTCGCTCGATCAGTTGTAAAGTGTAATTAAAGCGTGAAAGATTTTGATTTGATGAAGATTAGGCTTTAAACAATCTCAAACATGCTCAGACATTGCTGGTATTGCAGAGCAAACGTATATTTCACGCGGCTCGTGTGCGAAGTTTATCATTTTAAGCTGTCAATTTGTATCGGATAATAGAAAGTGATAATTTACAGTATACGTGAAATATTGAACATAATGAATTACATTAAAGTTTTTTTGATTTTAAATTGTATAACTGGATGGATGGAGTGTGATGCGTATCGAATTCTTGGAGTTTTTCCATTCGCCGGAAAGAGTCACAATATAATATTCGAATCTCTCATGAAAGGTCTGGCAAAACATGGACATCAAGTGGACGTTGTGACACATTTTCCGTTAATGGAACCTATAAAAAATTATAATGACATAATCAACTTGAACGGAACCATGGAGAATCTTGTGAATAATTATACAGTTGAATTTATTAATCAAATTTCTGGTGAAATTGTTGATCTGATAGCACTTTCTTATGGAAACAGAATTTGTGATTTCATGGGTTTACCAGAGATGCAAAAATTAATAAAAGGCCCACGAAAAAATTCTTCATATGATGTTGTAATAACAGAGGTATTATAATGCTTTTACAATTGGATATAAATTTGATTATTATAAACAAATAATTCTAAAAATTACTTATTTATTGAATAGTTATTTGGAGCAAACTGTTACATAGGATTAGGTCGTGCTTTTAAAGTACCTGTAGTAGCATTGTCTTCTGCCATAGAATATCCATGGGTTGCACATTTAATAGGCAACGACGATAATCTTGCTTATGTGCCAAATGCATATCATATTGGAGTTGGAAGAATGAATTGGTGGGAACGTTTAAATAACGTCTACAGTCATTACAAAGCATTGCATAGATTTCACTCGTTAACCGAAGAAAGTCAAACAGAGTCCATGAGAAAATATATAAGCCCTCAAATGCCAAGTATTCGAGAAGTAGAGCGAGAAATTTCGTTAGTTTTGGTGAACAGTCATCCAATTTTGTTTGGCGTCAAACCACTTATTCCTGGCTTAGTCCAAATTGCTGGTTTGCACGTTGAAGAAAGTGACGAGGTTTTACCTCAGGTAAATAATTAATTAAGAAAATATAACTTTTAATTGCTTTTGACTTGATACAAATAAATAGATTATGATAAATTTATGTTTTATTCTTTGAAGGAGCTAGAAAAATGGTTAAATGAAAGTACAGATGGGGTCGTTTATTTTACGCTAGGGTCAATGGTTTTAATAGAAACTTTACCAACTGATACTTTAAAACAAATCTACAAATCATTCGAAAAATTAGCACCCATGCGAGTTTTAGTAAAAATTGTAAATAGATCGAACTTACCTCCAGGATTGCCAAAAAATGTTAAAGCTCTACCTTGGATACCTCAACAACCAGTCTTAGGTAAATTTCAAAAAATTAAAAAGTATTTTATAGCACCGGTTTGAGTGCTATAAAGTATTATTTTTCATGGACATATTGCTGAAGCAACTATTTATAATTAAACATGATTGATATTTGTGTAGCACATAAAAATATGAGAATTTTTATAACCCATGGTGGTCTTGGTGGTCTTATTGAGGCCCTTTATTACGGAGTACCAATGATTGGAATACCATTGTTCAGTGATCAATTTCGTAATGTTGAAGCATTTGTGGCGAAGAGGATGATGATTCCAATAAAATTAACCGAAATCAACGAAAAAAATTTGGACAACGCGTTCAATTGTTTGATCAATGATATTACATACAAGTGAGTTTAAATACGTAATCTACAATTGAATTGAGTTCTTTATTTACATTATTTTTAATAGGAATCAAGCCATCTATTATTCGAAACTATTTAAAGATCGACCAGTTAGTTCAATGAATAATGCGATATTCTGGATAGAATATGTCATCAGAAATGGGAACGTATTAAGATCACCAGCTCTTGATTTCTATTGGTGGCAATTGGCATTACTCGATATTTATGGCCCTATGTTCGTACTTTCTTGCATTGCTATTTTTGGCAATTTTTTGATTATATATAATTTATTTTTTAAAAACTCTAACTTGGATGTAAAAAATGGACAATATGATGAAAAAAGTTACTCAATCATTAAAACTAAAAAAAATTAAGTAGAGTCATTTAAAGATAACTAAATCTGGGAAATTAATATCAATATAAAAATTAATATCAATAGCTGAAAACTCTTATTTGTATGTTCTTTGTATATCTTTCACGAAGAAAATCGTTTCCGTATGAAATTTGATTGTGATATAATAGGTTTCATCATTTACATCACTCTATCATTACTTTTGTTTTACATTTTTCAATTGTTACAATTTACGTTACGCTGATCAGTTATTATCTGTTAATAAAACGTCAGCCAAATGCTTCCTAGCACATTCATGACTATATTTGTCACATACAGTTTTTATCTCTGGTGCACCTCACATCGTTTGAACTCAAAGTGGAACGTGAAAAATTAGATATGTAAAAGTATAAAAGTGTGTTATAATTCTGAAAATTATTTAACTTAATTAAAAGTTGATTTAATTAATTAGTTTAAGATATTCTAATAATTGTTGTGTAATATTTTTATTTGATTATATGATGATTCGAGTTTTTTCGATTATCCTGTTAACTGCTCAATTTTTTCAAGAAAATCACGGTTATAGAATACTAGGAATTTTCCCTTTAAATAGTCGTAGTCATGAAATGATGTTCGAGTCAATAATGAAAGGGTTATCGAAACGAGGCCATCACGTCGATGTTATTAATCATTTTCCTCTGAAACACCCACCTAAGAATTATCACAATATTATTGATCTACGTGGCACAATGGAAAATCTTGTAAATAATTTCACAGTAGATTTTGTCCTTGGCATAGCCGGTGATAACGTTGTGTATCCACTAGCAACTTTGTATGGTAATCGTCTGTGTGAACTCATGGGACTCAAAGAATTTCAAGATATAATACATAATCCACCAAATAATCCACCTTATGATGCCCTTATTACTGAAGTAAGCGACAAATTGCCTTCTTTTAGAATGTAAGTCTACGAAAATTTTAATTACTTATTTTTCACAAAAAAACACAAGGCCTTTGGAGCGAATTGTTTCATGGGTATAGGTCACCATCTCAATATCCCTATCATCGCTGCATCCTCTGCCGTAGAGTATCCATGGGTGGGTCATATAACAGGTAATGCTGACAACCCTGCTATTGTTCCAAATGGACTATATTCAGCTTTTGGAGAATTAAACTTTTGGCAACGATTAGAAAATACTGTAGAATATTTTAAGGCAACATCAATGTTTCATAAATTAACTGAGGAATATCAAACTGCAGTTATGAGAAAGTATATAAGCCCAAATCTACCTAATATAAGGGAAGTTGAAAAAAGCGTATCTTTAACTTTAGTAAATAGTCATCCCATTCTCTTCGGTGTAAAACCAGTATTACCAACATTAGTTCAAGTTGGTGGCATTCACGTAGAAGAGAGTGATTCAAAAGTTCCGGAGGTAAAATAAAATGGTCGATCCCTGTAGTTAAAAGCTAATTTATGAAACGATATAATATAGTTAATTTATTTGTATATAAATAATAGGATTTGAAGAAATGGTTAGATGAAAGCCAAGATGGTATAATTTATTTTACGTTTGGATCAATGGTATTGATAGAAACACTGCCTACCGATACAATCAAAACTTTATATGCTTCGTTTTCAAAAATAAAACCTATTCGTGTATTGATGAAAGTTGCAAATACAAGTAAATTGCCTTCAGGACTACCATCTAATGTACACACGATGCCATGGATTCCTCAGTCAGCTGTTTTAGGTATTTTTTGAGATTAAGATGAAAAAGTTATACTACAAAATTTAGGATTCAATTTATTTTTATAGGTCACAAAAATATTAAAGCTTTTATGACTCACGGTGGTTTGATGGGCACAACCGAAGCATTATATCACGGTGTTCCATTGATTGGTGTTCCTTTATTCGCAGATCAACCTCGTAACATAGCGTCTTTTATAGCGAAAGGTATGTCGGTAAAATTGAGCTTAAGTAACATGACTGAATCAAATGTTGACGAAGCTATACGGTCAGTACTATTTGATCCAAAATACAGGTATGAATTCTTTATTCTTAATGTCTATAAAACGTTTCTCACTAGTGAAAGCAATTTTTTATGTTCTAATTTATTAGAGAAAACGCAAGATATTATTCAAAGTTATTCAGAGATCGGCCTATGAGTGCTATGGATAGTGCAATATATTGGATTGAATACACCATCCGTAACGGGCCGACTGTACTTCGACCCCCGTCTTTAAACTTGACCTGGTGGCAACTAGGCTTAATAGATGTTTATGGTTTTCTTACTGCCATTTTTCTACTGTTTGTGCTCTTAATTATTTTTGTTGTCGTGTTTGCTGTGAAGAATTTCAGTCGTCTGTTCTACTCCAAGAGCAATAAAATGGGTTTTAAATTAGAAGAAAAAAAAAGTAAATAATTTTTCTGATACAGATCTAGTTTAAAAAGATAGGATAATTATTTAAATAATGAATAATTTGATGTACAATTTTGAATTTGTTGAAACATAATTTATAATTTATTTGAAAAATACAAGTATCTTATGACCAAAAATATTACAAAACAAAAAATTCATTGTTTCCAGAGTTGCAAATGATTAATTAAAAAATCTAAGTATAACTATTGATTTCATTCAATTATTAATTGAATTCAGACTTAATTAAGAACTAAGAATCAATTCTTAATATAATCTGAATTTAATCGAATGTAAAACAATTAAATTCTTTAAGAAGTTTTTATTTCCGTCAGGTTGTTTTAGATTCCCCGCGATGACTAGTCACCCTGGACTACAATTCGATCACTAGTTTGAACACAAAAGTGCGGCTCTGACTCTTCGCAAGTTTCGGAAGAGTCAAACACTAAGATATTTCCTTACGATGTGACTACGTTACTTCTAATTTTAAAATTGTATTATTGGATCAATTTGATATATGGTTGGTCGATATGTGGTCCAGTGGTTCAATATCCCGAAAAAGTTGAATCTATAGCCTTTGTTCGACCTGGTGGACGATAAGTGGTTAAGGGTACCGAAACTGCAGTGAAATCGCAACATTGTTAGAAACCAAAGTTTCCGAACAATTAAACAGATCAATTTTTATTTTAACTAAAATTTATTTAAGAATTAGTTTCTGATTATTATTTGAATTAGATTTTAATTATATAATTAATTATTTATTATTTATTAATTAATTATATTTATTTATTATTTTTATTATTTATTTTTAATTAATTTTATTAATTTATATATTAATTAAATTTATTATTAATTAATTATTTAATTAATAGAATTAGAAAGTAATTTTTAATAAAGGCCGAGTTTAATTTAGAATTACTTTCTGACTATGAATTAAATGAGTTTAATTATACATTAATTTTTAATTATTAATTAAATTTAAAAGTAATTACAAATTGTGCAACTATATTATTTCGTACGTTTCGTAGGTTACTTATCAACCCCTTTAACCCTTAAACTTCGCTCTACGCGCTCGTGTGGGTCACGTGTGTCCTTTGGCTCTGCAGGTCCGTCCTAGCACGTAGAGGCTGCTCCAGTGTATATTCCTAGAGGGTGAAAGAAAGGGGAGTACAGGGATTCACACTCATTCACACCAGGAAACAAACACTCAATATTAACAATAACAACTACCAGGTTGATTCTTATGCAATAAACATTATACACGGCCTAGGAGAGTACCCCAATACCCGGTCGACGGCAGACGCGACGATCGTAGCCCCAGTGGGCGCGCCGGCACGTACGACTCACAAACACAACGACCGAGGGCTGGGCCGCCCGACTCACCACACGATGTCGAGATCTTCTCCTGGTCTAGATTCACCTTCGGCTCTCTCTGCAGTCTGCTCGGCCGCCGGATCCACTGGTTCTCTCTCGCGCACTCAGGTAGACTCGTACTGACATTTAACTCGCACTCTTCACTCGGGCGACGTAGGATCTTACTACCCGCGCGGTACTTGTCAATCCGACGTAGACATCCCCGTGGATGTCGCGCTCAACTCGCACACTCGAGCTCCGTTCGCTCTCAAAGCAAATCTTCGATTCTCTCCTCTGTTCATATATGTACGCTCTCGTATCTCAACGTAAACGCTTGTTTACGTTTTATCCTTTCGCACTTGGCGCTCACATGAAGTCAGATTCAAAATAAAATAATTAATAACTATTCTTATGACTAATATTATACTCGGCAAGGCGACGATGGATCGTCAGGGGCGGCCCAACAGATAATGCCAGTTCCGGCATTACACCCATTAACGCGCAAAAGTGCAATTTTGTGCATACATTTTCCATTGTAAAAAAATTATACATAAAGTTAAAATATTTTCTTGAAAATCCATACCCAGAGGTTTTAGGGTATGCTCTTTCAGAATCCGGTGTTATTTTTGCGATAAATAAAAATTATTATCGTTTATTTTGCAATTAAAAATATAAAACATGATTTTTTGACTTAAAATTTTTTTTCAAAGTCGATTTTCTACCCTGCCCTGCTTTCGGAGGGCTCCCATAACACCAGCAATCGTGCACTTTTTCTCTGAAAATTCAAAAAATGCGCTGCCGCGATTTTTATCTAGCCCCTATATTTCTAAACTGGCGAATTTATGCCGAGCAGCGATATAAAAATTCCCTCATTTTTTATTCGGAAATAATTGACTTTATAATAAAAAGTGATAGAATGGAAAGTGTTTAAATTTGTTCAAAGAATACATGTGAATTTTTTCAGAATTTTTTTTGAACATTTTGGATTTTTTCGACAGGCCGGGAAATGGTCATATTTTGCAAAATTTTCAAAGTGGTCTGAAAAATTCTGAAAAAATTCACTTCTCTTTTCTAAACGATTTCAAATAAATTTTTACACTCCAAATCGTACTTTTTAGTTCATATTTAGCGCATGTGAAATAGTTTCCGAGTAAAAAATGAGAGAATTTTTATATCGCTACTCGGTATAAATTTGACATTTTAGAAATGTAGGGGCTAGATAGAAATCGCGGCAGCGCATTTTTTGAAGGTTCAGAGAAAAAGTGCACGATTGCTTGTTGTATGGGAACCCTCCGAAGGCAGGACAAGGTAAAAAATCGACTTTGAAAAAAAATTTTAAGTCAAAAAATCACGTATTTTATTTTTAATTGCAAAATAAACGATGATAATTTTTTTTTATCACAAAAATAACACCGGATTCGAAAAGAGCATCCCTAAATACCCCTGGGTATGGATTTTCAAGAAAATATTTTAACTTTATGTATAATTTTTTTACAATGGAAAATTCATGCGCAAAATTGTGCTTTTGCGCGTTAAGGGCTCAAAGGGGGCTTAAATAATTATATATTTCTATTTATAGTATTAAGCTGAAAAAGTGAAAAAAAAATTTTTTTCAGAAAACAGATCTAAGAGCCTTTTTCAATACCCCATTTGAAAGTACTTTGTCCAGTTAAATACTTACAAACACATAAATTAACTTGTATCAGCCTATGACCCTTCAGCGAAGAGCATTGAGGATATCTAAGCTGTTTGTCGTAAGATTCTAAGTGATGGCTTGACACGACTAAGTTCTATGTCATTTCATTTTCTTCGATGGATCATTATCCATCAACGCAACCTCAAGCTAAGCATAAGATCCAATTTGACTACTTCCACATACAATTTAATAAAATATTTTATTAAAATTTATCAAAAATAATCATTAATGAATTTATTAAATTGTATGTGGAAGTAGTCAAATTGGATCTTATGCTTAGCTGGAGGTTGCGTTGATGGATAATGATCCATCGAAGAAAATGAAATGACATAGAACTTAGTCGTGTCAAGCCATCACTTAGAATCTTACGACAAACAGCTTAGATATCCTCAATGCTCTTCGCTGAAGGGTCATAGGCTGATACAAGTTAATTTATGTGTTTGTAAGTATTTAACTGGACAAAGTACTTTCAAATGGGGTATTGAAAAAGGCTCTTATGTCTGTTTTCTGAAAAAAAATTTTTTTTCACTTTTTCAGCTTAATACTACAAATAGAAATATATAATTATTTGAGCCTCCTTTGAGCCCTTAATGAGTTAATGCAGTTTGATTGTTGTATACAGACAATCACACTTAATTAAATTCATGTTTATAAGTATTGACATGCTTTGTAATCCTCGATTCAGCAGAGTAAATTTTTTATTAAAAAATTATTATTAATAGAAATAGTGACAAAAAATTTATTATTACAGTAAATTCTCTCTTAAGGGACACCACTCAATAGCGGATAATTTTACGATTTCAACGGAAGTGCATTGTCTTATATGGGATTAACTCTTTAAAGCGGGATCTCTTTGATAGCAAAAACTTTGGTTAAGGGGACCTCCCTCCTCCAAATTGAAAATAGTATTTTACTGCCCTAGGCCGCGAAAAACAGAAAAGTCGTAGAGCACGTGCAATTAGTGGCAGAGACGAAGCCGAGGCCGATAAACACGTGCTCTGGGGCTTTTTTTTCGCGGCATAGGCCTATATACTATTTTTCATACGCAGTGGCCCAAAAATCGCTCTCCCCGCTTTGCGCAGCAGCAGGGAAGTAGTCACTTTCGGGCCACTGGTATGAAAAAACCATTAATTTTATCAGCCTGAAATTTTAACCGACCGAGCATTAAAAATGTAAATTGAAACAACTTTTTAACTAGACTGATTTTCGAAAAACGGCTCTGTGGAGCCCTCCGTACTGTAGTTGTGAGTAACTGCACCAAATTTCAGCCAATTTCATCGGGTAGTTTCATCCAGTTTCATCGGGTAGTCCTTTTCAATAAATTTTTAATTATATGTAAAATATTACATTTTCATTTTAGATACACCCCTTAATAGCAGTCGCGTAAAGCGAGGTTTTACTACAATATATTTGGCTATTTTTTATATGTAAATTTAAGGTGTCGACTAAAATTATTGTAAAATAATATCAATGTGTTCATTTTTTAAATACATTATGTCGTTGTCTACATATATAAGAAGTAAAAAATGGTTTAAAATTATATTCATTTGTTTATCAAATTTCAATTAGTCTACATTTGAATCGTGCATATCAGCATCGGCAAATAAAGATAAAATTGGAGAATCTTTATAGATACCAAGGTCATTTGGCAAAAATTAAAAGTAAAATACGTAATGTAAAATGAAAATTTAATACAATTTCTTATCGCATCCCAAAAAATGTACTAGGTAGATAGATTATTTAATTCTAACTTCGATCACCTGATTACAATTAGTACGTTGGTAAACAAAAAAATAACGTCCAACGATATCAGAACACATGTCTGAGGCGATTGATTATTGATGTACTTTTTCGGGACGTAACCCCCGCGGATAATGAGGGATGCCTATATTTAATGCAACAATGTTAAATAATAGTCATTATCGTCTCATGCGCATACGGAAAGTCTGATTTAATTGTTATATCAGTTGAAAACAATTAATGACATAAGAAAAAGACGGTGAGCCGTAAGTTGTCCAATCTTTACGTTTGAATTGACGATCAAATTCATGATCTGCAATCCACAAGGATATATATATATAATCCCCACCCACTTTTGACGGAAGAGTGAGAGAAAAGGGTGAGCGAGAACAAGCGAAACGAAAGTACGCAAGCTTGAGCTCCACCCCTCTCTTAAATCACTCATTCTTTAATAATAGACAGATCCCATTATAATACCCGAGATTTATATCCCATGGCCCCCATTTATTTTTAACGATAAATTTGGACTCTTTCTCTCTTAGTTTCACTTGCGCTCTTTATCTTTTTGCACATGGCACACACTTCGTACTTTGCATTAGTGATAAAATTATGAAAAGTAGTTACAACTTTAAAATCCATTTTTTCGTTTCTTCAGAATAAGTGTTCAAATTTAATCGCGATCAAAAATCGATAACGACTCAAAAATATTTGAAATGCATGACACATGCAAGATCTGGATTGGTTGAAAGTCTTTAGTGCTTTGAAAATAAAATGCAATACAGAAAATGATAAAAGAACCTGAGCTCAGTAAAATAAAATAAGAGAATAATTATATAAAGATGCATAATGCCTACCGGGCCTATAAATATTGTTACAAGACGTCAAGTATAGTTTCGAAAGCTTTCCCAGGATGCGCCGCTCTTCGTAAGAGCAACATAGAGCGCGTTGAGCTAGTGAATCACAAGCCAGTGGTTGAATCAGCAAACCAAGGGCGATCACCCCTATTCATTGCCGAATTAAAGCACGTCGCTATTAATTTACATATAGCACTTTGTAAGTTTAACTCGTTTTAACTACTTTTGTGCATTGTATCGTTACTATTAAAGGTATGCATACATGTAACGCACATTAAAAAAGAAGTGTAAATGCGATGGGTTATTTTTTATAAGTTTAATTTTCACCCAATACCTCATGCTTTGATTAAACTCTATCGGTTACACGCTCTGTGGCTATGCATGCAAATGATACAACCACAGGTGCTAGTAATGAACAAGTAACGTGAAAGGCGACTTATTACAACGCGATTCTTTTCTAATGTAATTAACTTATAGACGCACTTCACGCATCAATTTCAATCTTGCTTTGAAAAAATTGAATATTTTGACCTGAGATATCACTTTATCCCATTAGGTTTCGAGTCAAAATTAGCTCGAACACTCAGAAGCCGGTTAAAGAAGCTTCAATTTTCGGTGTATCACTTTCATTTTTATCTACTAATATCTCTTTTCAACTCGTAGGAAAGAATAATAATTGCTGACTCGTAACGAGCTGATTGAATTGAATAAATCGCTCAAGAAACTATGGTTGAAAACGCCGAAGTAAGTATTCGTAACGCGACGGTTGGGTGTCAGGGGAGGGGAGGGGGATAAATCTGGACTAATGGGCAATTACAGCAGGGAATTTTTCACGACACACGCGTACACACAGACAATAAAGCGACATGTTATGTAGAGCCTGTCATGGTATCGAATGCTTTATTGGTCTGTCAATCGGCAGTTAGAGGATTTGCTGTATCGCGTACAGTCAGACGCATAGAGACACAATCTCTGTTAGGTTGTGTATGTTATACGTAGGTAGGTAGGTACGTATGTATGTATATATGAATGGTGGAAAATACGCGCATTGCAACGTTGTGCACTGCATGACGAGCTGCAGTGCACGAGGGTTCAATGCCTATCCGACTGCCTGACTGCCTGCCTATATAACTTTGAGCTGGCTGCCTTGGGGGGACATGATCTTTTGATTTATGCGACACGACACGCAGATTTTTCTTGCATAAGATTGTACCATTTACGACTCACGCTATGTTAGAGCAGCTCTTTTGATGAATTTCCGAGTGATTTTCCGCTACATATGCCACAGTCTCTATTTTATACCGAAATCTAGCGTTGATTGTGTTCCCTTGAACGTAGAACTGCTGCATCGTATAACCTTGTGCTGGCCGCATTGTTCTAGTGCCATGTGCTTAGTTTTATTCTTTTATTCATCTCATTTGTATCAAAATGTAATATAAATCTATACGTTGAAATAGTAATTTCGTTGAGATAATGGTTAAGTTTAGAAGTGGAGGTTTTAACACAAACTTGATACAAGCTAAAGTTTAATAAGGTAAAAATGACCCGAAGGGTGACCAAAATTCTAGATGATGAAGGGCTTTCCTTTAAGAAAGCATGTAGATTCAAGTTACTCCTTATCTATGGCGCGTATCCGTGTCATTTCCTCGTTTCTGGAAAATTCAAAAGTGCGCGGAATGTTAGGGTGAGCGCGAGGGGAGACGAGTCAAGGAAGAGAGGAATACATTGAGTAAGAGGAAGGGAAAGGGCGAGCTGAGACGTGTTGCTACTCTGCGAAGCTCGTTGCGAGCGCGATCCATGCCATAAATTAGCAATTATTTAATTTTCGTTTGGGCCCCGGGTCCTTAGACGGCTCTAAATCAGTCTCCGAGCGAGCAAAAAGCGCAGATAACTATGACGCATGGCCGCGGGAAAGCGAGGCGCTCTCGTTCTCTTTACCTCCCTCCAACACCTAGCTCCTCGACCCCCCGTTTCATATATACGTGTTTGCGTTCGTTGCTTGTCTCTAGCTGTCTCCTGCGCGGCGATCACCCTTCCTCTTCCGCTTTTTCTCCATCCAACTACACTGGAACCGAAGATTCTTCATCGCATAAACACGAGAATGTGACGATTTAATTCAATAATTTATATTTAAAGATTCTTCGTTAACAACCGTTACTGATTTTTCTTTTTTCTCTGCAATGATTCACAATATGACTCGTACGACTAGTACTTTAGGCCAAATCAAAAATTTTAAATGACCGGGCATTCATGCATCTTTGCTTTTTATTAACCGAACTGATTATTTAAAAAGAAAAAAAGTATAATGTATCGAGTCGATAATAAAAGGAATTATAATTGTATATATTTTCAATATATTCTTCATAAAACATACATTGGTTCCAGCTGTAACGCGAAGTATCAAGTCGGTACACGAAGAAATAAGGGCGAAATTCGAGCTCATCGAGTCGAAGATACGTCTAGTAGAGGCTGTTTATTACATAGGAGAGCGATGCGCGACGCTTCTCACACATCGTAATGTGTGTATAGGTGCAGAGCACGAGCGAGGCGCAGTTAGCGCACCAAGAGATATCGTCAAGGCTGATGCAGAAGAGAGAGAGAGAGAGAGAGTGAAAGAGGCGTGTGGCTTCGCGTAGCTTTGCGCTCTTCTCGTTCTCTCCCTCTCTTTCTCGTTGGAGTTGCACACACAATGGCAACTAGTTTTAATTACAAAGTAAGGTGAAGCCATCAATCATAATGATGTACGCGAGGCAGCCACGTTAACTCATATATACCGTATATGAATGCGGCCAGGCTCTTTCGTTCGTTCTCTTGGGGTATATCGCACGCTCGTACCGCCACGAGCGTATCATGTGTATGTGTACCTACACGCTTGCAGCGCTTATACGCTCGTACATCGCTGCGCAGACCCCGTGTGCGTAGCAGCTCTCTCCCTCGCGCGAGAGCTTCATTCACGCGCTTATGACTGTTTTTCGCCAACGAGCACCGCAATTGCAATCTTACTTTAATATACTACCGCTCCTTCCATATCGTGTCTCGCGGCGCATCTACCTGTACCTGTGCGAGCTTTTCACGTCGTTCTCTGCACCCAGTGGGCTCACCCGATTGATCTGTGCTTTGCTCGTCCTTTTCCTCTAATATAATTCGTACCTAAACTTTATTCTCGCTGATTCATCATTTCAAGCCTTCGTTACTTTCTCAATTTCATTATTTTCATCTGCTCCCTTGCACCTTGAAAAAGTTTTTTTAACAGTTATTTCGAGCTATTTATTCCTTATGCATCATATTTTGATATTTTATTATAATGCGTGAATAATTGCTTTATGATACTCACGCGCTTATATGTTTTTTCTCATTACCGGATCATTGGCAAGAAGTCGGCAGTTTCATCGATTTTGCTTCTCGGCACTTTAAAACAGTCATCGCGCACCGGATGTTGCTCGACATTCACCGTTGCCAAGACGGTAAGTTTCTCTGTGATACACACCGAAAGTCATTAAGTAATGATAGCCGGAAAGAAAAAAAGTAGCCCATCTCTTTCTTTTTCATTTCTTTACTCTATAAGACTATACGTATATCAGTACAAACAACGCGCCACATGCAAAAAACCATCGTAAAATGTGAAAAAACGATGAGGTCGACATAATATACACCTTTACTTTTTATTCAGCATTATATGTTTGCGCTTAGCGCGCGAGACGGTACAGGCTATGATATACATAAAATATTGTGGGATACGTGCAGTTCTCTTTGCTACGCATCTGAGGTGGGTTGAAGGAAAAGAGGATGTGAGGGTCATGCAGTTGCTTCAGTGGCGGTGGAGCGACAGCAACTTGCATTCATAAAACTACACAAGTCGTCAGTGTGGTTGCGGTAGTACGCTTTGAAGGGGCATGACTAGCTATCGTAATACAGTCCGACGACTTTGAATTTTCTTCTAGTGTGGTTCACCGCGACGAAATATTTTTTCTACCTCGCAACTTAGTATCTAACATACTGAAGTTCTTATAGTGCGCAGATCATCATCTCTCCCAATTCCAATTCTGGGCTCTGTTTGTATATGTTACCCAAAAAAGTAGTAATTACACTAAAGGTGATTTCTCATCAAAACACTTTTTACTGATAAATTTAACAATTATACGAGTTTATCGCAACCCCGCGCGGGCGCTCGAGCGTCGCATAAATGTTGTTGTATCTTTTTACTGGTTACTAAAAAATCTGGAAATATTCGACAGACTTATATCTTTGTATAAGATCCATATTGTATCACTCTTATTTCATCGAATAATAAATCTCTATGACTGCCATATACGTAAATACTTTAGTAAACTTCAGATTATGTAACGTTCGAAAGAATTTCACGTTCTTTTACTCGATTATTAAATTTGATACAAACTTACAAGAACGCAGTATACCTAACGACTGCGAGTGACGATTTACAACCGAGAATTGCCAAATTACGCCCTCTCGCGTGTTAAATTTACTATCTGTTGAAATCAAATTCGCAACATCCGTCGTGTGCGCGATCCGTGAGTATGTTCCAATGCCGTTTTCTTTCATTTTCAAATCAAAATTAACCCTCTATCGCATAGTAGAGCTCGCATACGTGGACTTATGCAGTTATGCCTTTCCACGTTTATCGCAAAGTGGAGTTATGTTGTTATGCGCCCTGCTGAATCCAAAGACATTAGATGCACCTGTTTTGACAATTACATCTTAAAGTAGACACTAAATATAGGTGATTTCGGTCATAAACTCGATTTTAAAAACAATGAACTTATGTAGTTTTACCTTTCAGCCATAGAAATATGGTTTATTAATAATTATAAAACCAATAAAAAAAATTGATTTGAGTCTCACACCACCTCTCTGGTATAAAAAAATCTACATTGATATCGACCTATTCAAGATCGGTATCAGGCTAATTGAGCTCGATATCACGCCATTTGAGAGGGGTTGACCTTATTATCCATCGCGAGTCTCTGCGAGGCTCGTCAACAGACCTCTGTGCGATGTCAATTTTTTCGATTTTTTTCAAACCCTTCATGGAGGTATCCAACGGGGGGGGGGGGGGGGGNNGGGGGGGGGGGGGGGGGGTGACGTTCAGGAGTGTGCATATTTTCTTCCTGACTTCTTAATCTTGGCGCTCACACGAAATCAGATTATAAATACAACTATTAGTAACTAATCTTATAATTAATTATATTCTCGGCAAATCAATGATGGTTCTTCAGGGTGGCCCAATTCAACGAATCATTATTCGTGAATATATAATAATGGAAACTTTATTTGCTTATTCTAGTATGTAACTTTTAATGTTGAGTACTTCACTCAACTTCCAACGAAATTTCTAAAGTTCGTTTCATTTGAAAAAAAATTTATAAGTTATTTAAATTTGACAGTAATCAAGACTAAAGATTTTTAATTTCAAAATTCAACTTTGAACTTGTTTACATACAAAAGGATATAAGAGGAAAGTCTCAATTTTCTTAAATTTTTACGCAAAATTTTACATTTATAAGACTATATATTCAGTTGGGATTTCTTTGAATATTACAGTTAGTGCAGTATATTCCATGTGTACAAGTTGGATTTTGGACAAATTATTCATGACATTTTCATAGGGTTTTCAAGTTATTTTTTGTATTGGACATTCTATTTGCGTGCATTAAAATTAGAAATTATTGAAAAAATTTAGCACCATTGCAAAAATAAATTACATTTAAACCAAGATTATTTTATTATAAATATTGTCCATAAATTTTCAAATATTAGACTTTTAAATCAAAACATGCATGTTTTTGATTATCTTCCTTATTTATCATGAAATTTTACATTGATGTGGATGAGTAATAAAAATATTGCACTATTGCGCGAGGTTATTTTTTAATTTGCAACAATGAAATAACTGATAATAGAAACATGACATCATTTCAAGTTACATCACGTTATGTAATTTTTTATTATATTTTACCAATATGTCTGATTAAATGAATACTATTTATTAAAGTACGCACGAGTGCATTTAACATGATACTAACCGATATTTCAATTATTGTATCCTTCAAATGTTTTAAGATAAGCCGTATCTATTAATCGATTGAACGTATACAAGGCATTCGTAAAGTAGTATCTAGATAGTTGTATTCGAAATATTCATGTGATAATTTCGGCTTTTTGATTCTTCGTAAATGTGATCTGTAGTGACAATATTTTGTTTCGCTTCAATTTCTAACAAAAACAATGAAGAGTTTCAAGATAATTATAACGGTGTTATTAATAAATTTGTCAATCAGCAGAGCCTACAAAATTTTGGCAATATTTCCATTCCATGCCAAAAGTCATGATAATATGCTGTCTGCATTTGCTAAAGGTTTAGCTGAACGTAAACACCAAGTTGATGTTGTGACGCATTATCCCGCAAAAAATCCACCTGAAACGTACAGAATAGTTGTGAATTTGAGTGGTACTGAGCCACCCATAATAAATAGCTTTCACATTGATTATGCAAAAACAATAGCTCAAGATGTTACGGTCAAGGTTGCAGATCGTTATGGTAGTGATCTTTGCCACTACATGAATTTACCAGATTTTCAAAAATTAACCAAAAAAATCAAAAGCAGTAAAGATAAGCTTTATGATCTCGTCGTTCTTGAAGTAAGTCTCTCCTTGTTTATCAGTGATGATTAGCATTAGTGATAAATTATCACAATAATTAATAATACAAAAAATTGTTCAATTCATACTTTGTTGGTTGTAAACAAATTGAGCATCGACTAACTTGAAGTTTTGTCATTAAATCGTTTCCTTCAACACTGAACAAGGATATAAAAATAAATCTGTTAATATGAATTAACAACACTTTTTATTACTCAAAATAAATTAAATTTTTTAGGCATTCGGATCTAGTTGTTTTATGGGGTTTGGTCACCTTTTGAAAGTACCTGTTATTGGAATTTCAACTTTAGTAGAATTTCCTTGGATAAGTGATTTCATTGGTAACGATGATAATTTAGCTTACGTTCCATCCTGCTCTACAAAATATTTTGACAAAACTAAATTTTGGGATAGATTGATGAATTTATTACATTATCACTATGAAAAATTTCGCTTTCATTCAAAAACTGAAAAAATCCAAACGGAGCTAATGAGAAAATATTTGAGTCCTGACATGCCCAATGTAAGAGAAATTGAAAAACAAATTGCTTTAACGTTTGTTAATAGACATCCAGTAATATTTGGGATAAAGCCATTGGTTCCATCTTTAGTAGAGCTCAGTGCTTTACACATGGAGGAAGACCCAAAACTTCCGGTGGTAAACTCAATATTTGTTATTTTATTTTAAACAAAACTTTTAATAAAATCCAAAATTTATTTTTTTAGGATTTACAAAAGTGGCTTGATGAGAGTAACTCAGGGGTCGTATATTTTACTTTTGGATCAATGGTATTAATTGAAACTCTACCAAAACATCAGATTTTCGAAATTTATAATTCATTGAGAAAATTGAACCAAAGAGTGTTATTGAAAATAGCCGACCCGACAAAATTACCTCCTAATCTACCAGAAAATGTATTAACTTCTCCGTGGATTCCTCAACAAGCTGTATTAAGTATTTATCATAATTATTAACTTTCTCATTTTTACATAGCAATAACTGGTTTCAAATATTTAGAGCATAAAAATGTCAAGCTATTCATCACACACGGTGGATTGATGGGGTCTCAAGAGGCTTTGTATTATGGTGTACCTATGATAGGTATTCCGTTGTTTGGAGATCAACCGATAAATGTGGATAAGTTTGTCCAAATGAAAATGTCCTTAAAAATAGATTTTGACAATTTAACAACTAATTCTCTAGATTGGGCTTTGAATGAAATATTTACAAATTATAAAGTTTACAAGTACGATTTTTATTTTCAATGTACAAATAAGCATTATTATTTATTATAAATATTAATTAATTATTTAGAAATATTAATGGTCATAAATTTTAATGTTTTGTTTTTTAGAGAAAGAGCAGAATATAATTCGAGATTATTCAAGGACAGACCGATGAGTCCAATGGATACGGCCGAGTACTGGATCAAGTATGTTATTCGTTACGGAGCTGGTCCTTTAAAATCTCCTGCATTAGAGCTGAATTGGTGGCAATTATCAATGCTCGATGTATATATTTTTTTACTAATCTTTTTTAGCGTCATAGTATTTTTTTTGTGTATTTTGATACAGTTATTTTTCAACCTCATTAAAAATCGCATTAGTATTAAGCATGTCTCTAAAACTTTATCTGAAAATTCGTCTAAAAAAGTCAAATATAATTAGATAAAGTATACAAGTGTGGGCTATTGCACCTCAAGCATGATATCCCAAAAAATGTAATTAAATGTACTCTATATACTGTATGTACGCTTAGAAAGGATATAGATAAGTGAAATTTGCAGAAATTCAGTCCTCTGAGGTTTTTTCTCATGGGTCGATAGAGGCTCAAATTTTGGTTTTCTTCTAATAAATTTTAATCTACGTTTCGCGCAGTAAGGAAAGCTATAGTAACATTCTGGTAGCGCTGAACAGATGGAAAAAATTTTTTTCTCATTTTTGTGAATTTTTCGTGGCCAAAACGAGAATTTATTTTCAAAGTTCTTCTCAAGAGTACATGATTAGTTTCAATTTCGTTTTTCGGATATAAAGCCTTGACGTAGAATCGCTCAAAACAAATTGTATTGATAAGTAGCGTTGTTAATTATTTAAATTTTTTGAAGATTTTGTTTAAAGTAAATAAATTAGCAATAATTATTTCAAATTAAAACTCGATTCGATCATTTATCCCAATCAAGAGAGTAAAAGAAAACGAAAAAATTAAGTAAGCATAGGCTGCAAATATATGTCGATGCAAGGGTTTGGCGGTAATGTACACGGCTCTCACTCATATTACAAGTATACAAAGTGTATATATAACTGATCGTGCGCGATTAATTAAATTCTCGGGTAATCAAAGACGTCGCTCATCCGTCCAATTTTAATTAAAGTTCGGACATTATCTATTTGCTTTATCATCGTGAAAGAGAAAAGCGACTATATCTGAAGAGCTGTGAGCACGAGCATAGACGAGGAGGCGCTATAGCTCCTGTGTGACGCGCGAGAATAGGTATATGCGCGCGTCTATCGAGAAACGATGGGAAATTCACTTCTATCCGCAGACTCTGCTTTGATAAATTGTGACCTTCCCTTCATCTCCTACTTTCTCTTCCCTTCCTTATCCTGACACACTAATATTTTTACTTCTTCTTCATTGTGTAAACGACAAAATTATTATAATTATTTTTTTTTACAAATACTTTTTTATCATATGCTTCTTTGGATTTTTCATCAAAAAAAGGTCCATGCTCATTCGGGTTATCGTGCAATAAGGAATTTTTTTCACGCATTGAAATATTTATTGCAATGTAGATGGTATTTTATTCATTTAGTAGAATATGAAATTTCATAATTTTGACAAGTCTTACATAGAAAATCGGACTATTGGGTGCTGCAGCTGTTTCATCGTTGTCTGATTACTGCGCGAGGCAAAAATCAGGTGGCTGCTTACACGACAATTTCAATACCAGAATGATTTGTAAGAAAACATTCCTAAAAGAAGCAGCAGCGCCATATCAACACTGCTAGAACGATGCTCTAAAGACGAATAATAATGAAAAGCTTGACGGGCTGACGCGCAGACTGATTAACCGCAAATGGCAGATATTCCGCAGGCGGTGGTGGTGGCAGTGCTCCGCCGCTGCCAGTGTAGATCGAACGAGCAAACTTTCGAGCTTTCATACTTTCTCTCTCTCTCTCTTTCTCTCATTCTCTCTTACTCGCAGCGGGTACCTGAGCCCGCTAACATATCTACAGGCGAAAGAGGCAGAACAGTGAAGAGAAAAAGGAAAATGTTTGGAAGACAGGAAGGTATTTCCGCTAGTTTGTTCGGGAAAACGTCGAATCTCTCACGGAATGATTCCTCGTTCTCGCTCTTTCTCTCGTTTGGTGATTATTCGTTTATTTTGTCATGTTCCTTGTCGTTATCCTCGATTAGATCGCTGCGTATTTATAGGCAGTAGCGCGGCCAGTCACTGCACTGACAGTTCCCGAGTCTTTTGGGCCTTATTTGCAATGAATTCGTCTTTAACTCTGTGCACCCACAGCCAACGTACTACAAGCTTTTCTGACAATATCGACTCGGAGCTTGTGTATGAGAATGTGCTGGAGCACACACGCGTATGTGTGCTTGTTTGTACAGTCCGCGACATACGATCCTGCAAAAAGAAGAGAAAAAAGAGGAGATTCTCTTATCAATACAGCTATATAGAGAGGGAGTCATATGCCATAAAGACCACTCGTGTCATTTCGCAATGACGAAACTTTGTTTCGAATTTCTTGTGTTCGCTAGCTTTTCTCTCTACTGCTGCTGATGCTGCTGCTGCTGGCTATACTTTTTTCTTTTGCTCCAAAAGCGTTACTGCTTCTAGCACTCGTCCGTTCTGTCTTTATTTCTCCACGAGTTTCAGTCTTTATTATACTCATTTTCTTTTTTTTTGCTTTTCGCTCCTTTTTCTCCTTACCAACCCGCCACATTAATTCTACCGCTTTATTTTTCCTGCTTCATTCACGCTAGTACACACACACACACACACACACAGCTGCATACCTTCAATCACTCATTTTCACTAGTTCTCAATTTTTTTAACAATTACAATACCAATAGCCACAATTCTACTGCAATTTAATAATTATTAAAAACGACGTGTTCAAAAGTATTAACTTTTTGCAAGACCATTTTATATATAAATACAGGAAAAGTGTTACTCTTACCCCCGCTGTAGCAGCAGCAGCAAACTCATTTTTATCTTTGTTCCTTCCAAGTATTGAAAAACAGAAGATATATAGAATATCCAATACTGGCGTAGCGAGGCACGCCTGCACGGTAGACGCAATTCGATGAGACGACACTCCGTGATGATATTACACGCGCGCCACTTCGACTTTTCTTTTCCATCTCTCTCTCTCTCTCTCTCTCTCTCTCTCTCTCTCTCTCTCTCACTCTCTCCCTCTCTCTTTATCTATCGCTCCATTCTATATTGTCTTCAAGTCTTCTTTCTAGATATTTTTTATATTTCTTCTTACAAGCATACACATACGACGACCATGCTGCACACCTAGACACAATATGAGTTTTCACATTCCCTCATCTCGCCAGCTATAGTTTACCTACTTCTTTGTCTGTTAACTTTTCGATTTTGCAGCTTGTCGACATATTTTCTCGTTAGCGTTTCTGATTCTTCAAGTTTCCAGCTGCATTGTGCAATTGCACAAACCAGCAGCTTTTTTATTGTTGAATCAAAAGGAACCAAATGTTATGTGTGCGAGACAATCGGTTGCATTGCAAATCAAATTTTTTCAAGCGTGTGTTGTTGAATGCTCCTGTAAGATTTTGATTTCAATGTATCGATTCAAAATAAGCTCTTCATTTTAGAGTAAAAATACAATTTTTGAAAAAAAAATGAAAATACTATTCTACTCGTATGTATAATGGCTGATTCGTATTTATAATTAGTTACAGCCATTTAAATTCAAAATTAATCCTCAAAGTGCTTGTTACATCGATAGAATGACAATGTATGCATTTTTCTGGTTAATCTAGCAATATAAAAATAAATTATTTTTGCAATCCTTTAATCAAAGCAACTTGAAGTAGAACTTTGAAAATATTGACAAGGAGAAAAATCAGCTTGTTGTCGTTAACGCTAAGATAGAAGCACAAGTAGCGATGAAAGCGCTTTGTAATTTCTCTGGATCTGGCTCCAGAACTCGAGATTATTGAAAAAGACAGTGCAGCAGAAGCATCGATTGAAATTACTCGTGTTTGCTCAAGATATCTTCAGCTATGGAAATTAATCGGCACGCGATAAGAAGATGAGAGTCCTACCCTGGCATTGAAAGGTGTATTACCACGGAAATGTCTAACGTCTTGCAGAATCTCCATCACCGAAATCACATACATCATTTTTCATCTCGTAGTTACATGTAAAAAAATTATTAAATTTTTCTAGATCTTTTATTAGATAGTAAAACTTAGAGCATACATACATTACGTATATTTTAAATATATACGCAGACTCTCTAAAAAATACTTATTTGCATTGATAGATAAAAAAAACTTTAAAAATGATATTTCATCATGCAGTGAAGTAGTATATATATGGGGATTCAAGCCCGGGCCAGAACCCCCTGGGGATTCAAGCCCGGGCCAGAGTCCCCATATACTTTGGCGCGAGGTTTCGGTGCGGCTGCACGCATGCGCACGCGTGTATACTTAGGCATGTACGCGTGTGCGTGTACGCTTAGATATACATGTATATTCAAGCGTATATGCGTGAGGCATATACGCGTGTACAGTCGAGCCTATATACGCGTGTGCGTGTACGCTTAGATATACATGTATATTCAAGCACATATGCGTGAGGCATATACGTACATGCGTGTACATGCACGCATATACGTATGCGTGTACATGTATGCGTGTACATGCAAGCATGTATACGAGTATGCGTGTACGCTTATATGCGTGAGGCATATAGGTGCATGCGTGTACATGCACGCATATACGTATGCGTGTACATGCAAGCATGTATACGAGTATGCGTGTACGCTTATATGCGTGAGGCATATACGCGTATGCGTATGCAAGCATATACACGTGTGCGTGTACACTTAGATGTACGTGTACATTCAAGCATATACGTGTGTACATACATGTAAGCAGTTACGTATGTGTTCGAGAGGTTTATACGCGTATGCGTGTACGCTTATATGCGTGAGACATATACGCGTATGTGTGTACATGTAAGCATGCATACGCGTGTGTGTAAGCGTATACATATAGCCGGTACACTCTCGAGCAGACGTTCGCTATGCGTTGTAAGCAAAGCTTACATTTTTGATCGATAATTGTAATTTAAGGCATTGCCTTTAGGGTCCCTCATAACGACGATTTGAGATTTGCCATGTTGTTTAATTATTTCAGCAGCTTTTGCCTTTGCATCTGACTTTGATTGGGATTTATTCTGATCTTGATTCATGATGATTGCGCGTGTTTTCAAAGCAAACTCCACTACTTTTTAGGTTTTTCTTCTTTGGGTAGTGCTTGGTATCCCTGACTCGAGGGGAAAGAGTTAACGTTGGTCGAAAATTTGTGATAATAAGTTCGATTGTCTCGCTTTTTTCCTTCTCTTCGTCTTCGCGAAGGCGACTGTATGAGTTCGAATTTCCCATTATAATGAATGCAAATGAGTCGAGTGAGAGTTTATATACCTGTACCCCCACCACCACAAATTAAATCAATTTTTTAACATCGCCACTGACAGGGTTGTACTCGACTATTCGGTCGTGTAAAATCAGGCAGTAGGCTGAAGTTTCGGCTGGGAAATTGCTACTTACTTCGAATTCTAATCGAATATCGACGGGGGCACTTTTTATAGTTTCGTTTTGTTTCGAGCAATCGATTACGATCAGTGGATAATCGGAGATGAATTTTTCTCTACTGATCATAGGCTCGGAGGTTTTTCCGTAATACGATTGTTGAAAATGAGCAAACAGGTCGTATAAGAGGGCAGCTTTGTTGTTGGTAATGTCGAGATTCATGTTACCGTAAGGATAATACTGTGAATTGAGAAATAGTTTTACATCGCGCACGTTACAATGATCAAACTTGCTAGCATCTTTATTTTTTTGATCCTTTCGTTTCGTTTGAAAAGCGAGTATGACGAAGCGCGGTTTTTCCAGCTGATTCGAAGTCTTGACCGTCCATACGTGTCTCGAGGAAGCAGGTATCGAGGGATGCTCGTACAATTCCCAAGATCTAAAACTCACAGCAATCGGCTTATTTTTTTCAATTTGTCGCAGTAGCTGAATCTTGTGCTGATTCGATACTTGCACGTAAGGCATTAACCATTCGATTTTTGAGATTTGAATTTTAAAAGTCTCGTACGTGTTATTGGGGGCTGCATTTTCTATAGTCTGCATGACCGCATTGAAATTTGTCCTTGATCTCGACAAAATAAGCTCGTGCTTCATGTTTACGATGATTTTACGATAATCTTCGGCGAACCCAAAAATCATGTTGAGAGGAATGAAAACGTCAAAGTTGCCCGAGTCGTCGGCTATCGACTCGCCTGTCCAGCCAGCGTTTTCTAAAATGTACTTTTGATTATAGTTGAAAGAAGGAATACCTTTCATGAGTGTTGTTAATCCAACATTCTTACATTTATCTATCTCCACGGCATTCAACTCATATCGAATGTCTTCGAATAAATAACAAATGGCGTTATCCGCAAAAGTAGTGCGAGCCAAGGCAGCACCGTCGGTTTTGGACAATTTACCTTGCACGTGAATCGAGCTTCGGCATGGCAGTAAGTTCAAGTCTTGATGTTGGATCGATATACGAATCTCGTCGCTGTTGTTGAAGTTGGACAAAGTGTATGGCTGATGAGCGTGTATCTCGTAGTGCGACACCGACTCATCGAACGTTACCTCCGACTGAATGTCGAGAATCTCTTCCATGGTTGCAGCAAAGAATGAAACAAATTACGGATGACCAGCAACGATTTTGAATCCAAGTTTTTTGAGGAACTGAATGTTCGTACGTGTCAGCTGTTTGAGCTTTCTCTGATGAATGACTCTGCGAGGGCATGATGACCCGTTTATATACCTTTTGCAATTGTAAACGATTCCCATTACTATAGAGACTTTACGTGCAATCTAACGGTTATCAATTCACCGCGAAAATCTACCAGATTATTGTCTTGATCGACTATGCGTAATTGAATCGAGTCGATTTTTCTCAAAGTTAGTGGCAAATAAATGACGTGAGATGGCACTTCGATGATTTTATAGCCCGGAGGTACTGCCGGAAAAAATTCGTGAATGGTATGCACCTGTTGGCCGTTTACGTAAGCTCCAACGGTAATGTTACACTCGACTCTCAGAGCGTTGATTTTCAATATGGTTACCGGCAAATCCGAATCGTGATGAGTGTCACGCTGCAAGACTCGAGATGTAAAGCCAAGCAACGAGCCAATCGAATCTTTTGGACGAAAATCGATATCTCGACTGCAGCTTACGATACTTCTGAGTGTATTGTTATTCGGCTTCAATGAAAATTCGATATTTTTTGTCGACAATTTGCCCTTTAAAAAATCTTCAATGTCTTGGATCTCGTAACTTCCCGGTGGTATGGTCACCACGAATTCCCCTGTACCGTCGCGCAAGTACAATTTGTTATTACTATGATCGATATTGGGAATAGAGTTGAATGTCAGTAGCTCAATGAGCCCGAGCACGTATTGCTTACGCGATGATAATTCGATCGGTGGAAAAAATTGAGACTCGAGAATGGATGATCTACCTGACAATGTAACAGTGAATGAATCGTCCATGTCGATGGTCATAGTGTTAATGAGCCTTGAGCGCGCGCATCATCGCCTTATATAGAAGATCGGTGAAGGAACCAGAGACACAAGTGACCACACCAATAAGTGTCGTAATCTTGATAACTTTCCTGATTGTATTCAACTTGAGGAACGTTCAAGTATCGCATCAAGTCCAACGGAGGAGGCAGATCTCCAAAGCTGTCAAAGTACACGACGCGATTACCTCTTTTGGTGTACGAGGTCCAGTGAGTCCCANGAGTCAGTTATTCCACCGGACGATGTATTACCAAATTCTCTGATGATTTTCGACGATATAGCCACGGAGAAGCAAGACAATGTACGAGCGTACTTTTGCATGGGTAGACACAAAAATGTCGACTCTTTCTACCTCTGTCAGTCTTATGCACGCATACCGAAACATCTAGTACGAGACAATGTGAACTTACTCATAATGTTTCGTCAGGACGATGTGAATTTAAGACACATTTACAATGATCACGTCACCACCGACATGTCTTACAACAAATTCAAAGATTTGTGCGCAAATTGTTGGAACAGCAACGATTATGCGTTCTTGGTCATCGACAAAGATCGACACATCAACGATGGTCGATATCGAAGAGGTTTCGATTGTTTTGCTATAAATATAGCATAATGTCGCTGATAAAAATCAGTCTTTACCGAAACACTGTTGTCTCAACATGTCGGATAAAACAATCGACGAGCTACGCGAAATTGAAAAGTCGCGCGAAGCGATCAGACGAAAATTTAATTTGTTGAAACGTGCCAAGGCCGATATTCAGCGAACGATCGGAGAAACGTTCAAACCGATCGTCGAACCACTCGATAAACTTGTAACGCTGTCCGAGAAACCGATCGTCGAACCACTCGATAAACTCGTAACGCTGTCCAAGAAAAAGTCGAGCTCGTTGCGACATGAGAGCACTCCTTTCTATCCAAGCAAGAAAATCTCTATCTTTCAATGATGAAAACGAGGAGGAGGAGGAGGAAGATGAAAATTTGCACAACAGTACAATTGTCGATGAAGATGCATCCATTGCCGATTCATCCTTCAAGTCAGTGGACGATAATAACGTTGCTGCTGCTGCCGGTGGTGCTGCTGCCCACGATATTTATGCTTCACTGCTGGATCAATCTCAAGATATTGATAGACTTTTTGGTCCTTACAAGAAAGATGATAAATTGTATCTCGGTGATTCAAAGATATATTTTCACAACGACTCTGTCCAAGTGGGAAGTGAAAAGTTTCCAAAGACCGACGGGCTCTTAGAGTTACTGTACAAAAAACATCCGAATCGAGATAAATACACGACTCAGGATCTTGACGCTTACAAAAATATTCTAGATTATACGAATGCCGTAAGAAAGGGTCATTCGAGTACCGGAGAATTACGTCGATCGAACAGCAACAAACTAAACGATATCATTTTACCTATGTTTCATAAGAAAGGCGGTAGTTTGCTGCTGCCTCGATTCAAAGTGGCCAGAGTCAACTCGCACAAGGATTACGTCTACTGGGATGATCCAAACGAGTTAGTAGATCGACTCAGACTTCTCATAGCGGAAACATCGGCTGGAAACAATAGTCATACGAATGAAATTAGCTCAATCGTCGAAGAGCTACGTGAGGCTGGCTATATATATTGAACTCATCGATGCAACGATCATCAGTATCAAAATGAGCGTCGACGTATTCAGACGTAATTTAAAACAATCAGTAGAGCAGCACGGTAGTCGACTACCAGCAATCGGTTTCAAGCTCACGAGCGAAGGTGACTACGACATCGATAACAAACGACTCTGTCAGATCGCTGAGCCCGTAGACTCGGCCGACGCCGTCACTTTGGAAACTTTGAACGTTAACGTAGGCGCTTTATTGGACTCTTTTACTAAAAAGTGGGAAAAACTCGACGTACAAATCAACGAATTGAAGCATCTCAGTTCATCGTACGCTAATCTCGACGTAAAAATCAACGAACTGAGAGAACAACAGCTCAGTTCATCGGCCTCGTACGCTGATCAGTGGGAAAAACTCGCGTATGCACTGACTGGCAAAATTAATCTACTTGAGAAATTATACTCTACCAAATACAATCTACTCGAATCAAAATTCAACGACTTGGTTGAAGCACGTTACGGTGAAAAAGACGATGAGTGAACACGAGACGGTAGTGTACGAATTGCACAGACCTGCTCGTCGTAACTATCCCCGCAGAAAATTCAACGTTCGTGGTATCGATGAAACGTGGCAGGCCGATTTAGTTGAGATGCTACCATACGAGCGAGAAAACAAGGGTTACAAGTATTTGCTGACGGTCATAGACACATTTTCTAAATACTGCTGGGCATTACCAGTGAAAACTAAGTCTGGTCAGGACGTCGCAACCGCCATGGAATCGATTTTTCAACAAGGTAGAACCCCTAAAAATTTGCACACGGATCGCGGCAAAGAATTTTACAATTCGCACTTTGAAAATTTGATGAAAAAGTACAATGTTCATCTGTACTCGACCTACAGCAATTTGAAAGCATCGATATGCGAACGCTTCAATAGGACGCTGAAAAATAAAATGTGGATGAAATTCAGTTTACAGGGTAACTACAAGTGGCTCGACATGCTGCCGACTCTAGTGACTCGCTACAACGACACCGTGCACAGAACTATCGGTCTCAAACCCAAAGATGTTACACCTGAAAATGAAAAAGAGATTTTAGTAAAAAAATTTCTCTCGACCGCGACGAGCCTCAAAAAACGTGCAAAATTCAAAATCGGTGACAAAGTTCGAGTGAGTAAATTGAAAAATGTATTTGAGAAAGGATACACCCCGAATTGGTCAGCGGAGATTTTCACAATTACTCGTGTTGTTCCTACGCAGCCAGTGACGTATCATCTCAAAGATTACAAGGATCAACCGATCGCGGGTGGATTTTACGAACACGAAATTGCCAAAGTAAAACATCCCGATATCTACTTGATCGAAAAAATTCTCAAGAGACGCAAAAATCAAATGTACGTCAAGTGGCTGGGATTCGATAGTTCTCACAACAGCTGGATCGAAGGGTGAGAGCCCCAACCATCGCTCTCACCAGTGGAGTACAACCAAAATTATTACTCCTCCTCTTCTTTTAAAAATTCATTTAATCTTTCGATAATCTCGATATTTTTGGCTGAGGCTCGTCGTCGTCGAGGCTATCTATGCTGTGATAACCCCATGGCAGGGTGTCTGTGCTATTGGGGATGAGATAGCGTTTGTCATCGTTCGGACTGAGAGCTACTTTTCTCTCTTTTTCCGTAAAGATGTTGTGATTCCGAGATCTTATAACTATTTGCTCGCGAATCGTAATCTCTTTATCGAATAGGCATCTGTAGTAATCATCGAATGTAATATTATTTTTTACCACCCTTGTCTTGACTCCCTTGGACTTTTGAATGGGCTCGTGATTTTCAATCTTGGCTGCGTACATTTTACTACGCAAACCGATGAAATGAGTCATGATTTGACCGTTACATTCGTCTTTTACCAAGCCAGGAACTTTATTGTTCAAACGAGGAATGTTGTATGGATTATCAGCTTTGTAACAAAACGTATCAAACTCTGGTTTTTCATCTTTACTCGTGAGATTTTTTCTCATCAGCTCGTAAATGTTCGTTTGCCTGATTTCATAGATAAAACTGTCAGTATCCATGTACATCAATTTACACTTGTCCTTCAGTAATGGTTTCATGTACTCATAATGAAAACGGTACATGTGTACTTTGGATATTTCCAAGACTGCAGCGCCTACGTAAATGGGTTTTCTTATCGTTATGTTGGTGTGATTCAATTGAATAGCTACCAAGTCTTCGTCGAAAATTGTACAATTTTTAAAGTCGGGTCTTGAAATGTATGCTTCAGCGCCGAATCTACCATCCCAATGATTGACGAGCTTGACTGAAACCCTTTTACGCTCACTTTCCATAGTTTTTCCGTATGCGCTGTTATTCATAAGCTTCCAGTACATTATCTCGAAGGAATTCGTGGCTGCTTGCCTCTTGGCGCTATTAAAGTCGATGTACGGTTTCATCCAGGGTTTTTGCAAAAATTCCAAGGCTCGATGAATCTTGGTAACCCTCAACCCCTGCTCAGTAACTTGCTTCAAAGTGAGATAGTGTAATACGTACCTTTGTTTATTGTACAGCGTTGTCAACAATTTTGACGTCTTAGAGCCAGGTGGAACCATCTTTTCAGCGCAAAAGGGTAGATCTTTATGATCGTCGTGAAGTGTCCTCGGATACTCCAAGTCTACTTCGAGAAAATAGCCCTTCTCCGACTCTGGGGATACATCCCAAAATTTTGGATTTTTTTCGATAGTGCTGCTCTCGACCCATTGAAAACCACCGTAAGGTAGAGACTGCATCATTGCATATCCGTATAGATTGTTGACGTCGTAGTACATGAGATACTTTTCCTCCTTGCTTGCATCGTAGGAGCTCATGTACTTGTGGTTGGCCTCGGCGTACCTGTTTGAGCACTGAGAAATACCACCCCTAATTGCTCTCTCAATGAAGAGTAGCACGTCGATGTCTGTGATAAGTGCGAGAGTGACATTTGTTAATTTTAAACAAGCATCCCAAGCGTATCCTGGAGTGGTGAAGTAATGAGCCGAATCGAGCTCGTAGGATTCAATGCACATGTTGCGAAAGTTTTCAAACACATCTGCGAGTAAGAGAACATCAGTCTTGAGATACAAATCCGAGTACTCACCGAGCGTTTTTATATGAAATGAATTCCACACATCTTGAGCGTGTTGATAGTCTTCTTCCGAGATCGTTTGCTCGGACATGATGCTATAAAATCTTTCGATCGATGGCAATTGCTGCTCGCGCAAACTTTCAAAAGAGCGAGTATAGTCGTAGGGATAAACACCTTTTCTCTTCAACAGCTTGATCTGCTCGCTCGTATAAGCAGAAAATTCTTTGTCGACGATCGGGTGAGTATCCAAATACGAAGCGAGTTTGTCCAGCGAAGAGGGCATAAATCTAAACGAGTCGATGAAACGAAAGTGTACGTTGTTTTTGGTATCGTCGACGTGTTTGATGAACGATATATATTTCTGCTTGTTCAAGGGTATGAGCTTCACGTGTCCTTTCATAACCTCCGAGGTAGCAAGATCCTTGATAAACAGGTGTGAATCATATCCCGTCAGGTTGTGGAAGACCACTGGTATATACTTTGCATTTTTGTAATTCAAATTGCAGCTTTGATGAGCTGCTCCTCTAAAACTGAAAAAATGAAAAATTCGATGAAAATAAAATCATTGATACAAGTGTGATACAAGCGAATGCATACTTACACTCCGGATAGATGACAATGATCTCGTACTTTAGGATCATCCACGGAAAATGGACGACCACATATGTGACACGTCTCTTGTAATTTATACTTTAACCAATCTTCTTGCGTAAGTTTCATCGGTTTGGCATTGCTGAATCGAGCATCCATGCTCACGGCAATTTCTTTCAGTTGTTCAATGAACCATTGGGAAGGGGTCTTGAGATCGTCGGCAGAAGTCTGTCTGTAGCATTTATACTCGGACAGTGAATCGTCGAAACTATACTTTACGTAGAACCCAACACTGAATGCCTGATGCGTTTGAATAACTCGATCGTGCTCTTTGATTGGCTCTCGCAGGAGACACTCAAAATCGGCATACAAAACTACTGGAACACGTTCTTTCTAAAAAAAAAAAAAATAATTTTATATTCGATAAAATCGAAATATTTTCAAATTTAAACAGAATTATTTATTAACTTACTTCTGTAATCGTTATTGTTGATGGAGGAGGAGATTCTTCTATACCCCACTGTACTCGAGCAGGCCGCCTCGATCTTCGGCGAGTAAGTGGAATCAGCTGACGAATCGACTCGGCTAATCGCCTTTTCAAGTCGCTCCGTGGTTGTACTTGGAAGCGTCGTCGACGCTTCCGTTTTTCGCTAATCAGTCGTCGATGTTCCTCTAGCTGCTTCGCAGCAGCTTGACGACGTTGTTCCTCTAGCTGCTTCGCAGCAGCTCGACGACGCTCTTCCTCTAGCTGCTTCGCAGCAGCTTGACGACGACGCACTTCCTTCAGATAGCGCACATGACGCTCGCACTCTTCTTCTTGCAAAGACTTCACTGTTTCACTTAACTCCCACTTTTCATTAACAAATTCGCGCCACTCTCGCAAAAGATTGAATAATTGATATTCACTCATTTTGTACTATTCGCGAGGACGGATCGCTCCCTTCGAAGGCTCGAAAATGACTAACTTTTGACTGACCATAGAGGCCTTATATATCGAAAAAATTTTATTACTTACTCGTGCTAGAAATTTCGACTCTCCCATGGTAAGATATTATAAACAAAGACACAACAAAAAGGATCCAAATCGAACGTGCGAGTTCAAGTGCTTGCGAGTATACGCGCGAAAATAAATTTAAATGGCCCGTGACATCGGTATCGAGTTAGCGCTAGCTAATGTGTAATACGATCAAGCTTACAAGTCTGCACTTGCGAATCATAATAATGATTAACGTTTAGTCGTATAGGATAAAAATTTTCTTAGAAGAATTTTATGTGCTTGGAAATTCCATCTCGTATCGGCAACTCTTTGTGTACGCATCGAAAAATCTAGATGCGAACGTAATAAAAACATTTTGCATGTGCAATCTGACAAATTGTTGTTATGAGGGTCCTAATGCCTTAAATTACAATTATCGATCAAAAATGTAAGCTTGCGTTCAAACGCATAGCGAACGCCTGCTTGAAAGTATACCGGCATATATGTATACGCGTACATATAAGTCTGCATGTGCGCACACACACGTATATGCTAGAACGCATATCTGCCTAAATGTGTACGCACACAAGTATATACCTCACGAACACGCACGTATACGTCTAAGTATACATGCGTATATGTCTCATGAACACAGACGTATGTGCCTGAATGTACACGCATACACGTATATGCCTCACGCATATAAGCGTACACGCATACTCGTATACATGCTTGCATGTACACGCATACGTATATGCTTGCATGTACACGCATGCACCTATATGCCTCACGCATATAAGCGTACACGCATACTCGTATACATGCTTGCATGTACACGCATACTCGTATACATGCTTGCATGTACACGCATGCATGTACACGCATACGTATATGCGTGCATGTACACGCATGCATGTACACGCATACGTATATGCTTGCATGTACACGCATGTACGTATATGCCTCACGCATATGTGCTTGAATATACATGTATATCTAAGCGCACACGCACACGCGTATATAGGCTCGACTGTACACGCGTATATGCCTCACGCATATACGCTTGAATATACATGTATATCTAAGCGTACACGCACACGCGTACATGCCTAAGTATACACGCGTGCGCATGCGTGCAGCCGCACCGAAACCGCGTGCAGCCGCACCGAAACCTCGCGCCAAAGTATATGGGGACTCTGGCCCGGGCTTGAATCCCCAGGGGGTTCTGGCCCGGGCTTGAATCCCCATATATATACTACTCAGTGAATTTGATAAAGATAGTATTTAGAAAAAATATCAAAGAAATCATAAAAATTGGCCTGTGCTTTCATGAGTGTTTGGGTGGAAGGTTTAAACTTTCAATAATATCAGCGCTCTGTGCTTGTAAAAAGCATGCGACCACCTACGTAAAACTAACGATCAAACAAGAAACATTTATTTTGATGATACAATTAAGCCGTCATTTTTTTAGGGAGAAAAAAAATTTATTGAAATTATACTTTGGCCCCGTTTGTGGAAGGACACGTCGACAAACAGTTAGAGAAACGTGTATTTCACAACTCCGTTCAAGATGGCCCAATCTCAATTGAACTTACCTTGGACTTGAGAAAATTTAGATAAAAAATGATTTGCGCTATGACAGGATTGATAACGATACAAACTTATTTTATTACCATATGATTCAAAAGTAAGTTGGACGGAAAATTAGGTAAATTTATAATATGACGGGAGATGAAACGAAAGATTCAAGTTTTGAATAGAGCATTGAAAGAATCTTCAAAGATGTGAAATGTTTTCTAGCGCGTAAAAATATATATGAAAAGTCAAAGCATGGCCTGAAGGAAGGAGGTGTAAATATCGAAGAAAGGTATAAAGCGAGTGGACTAGCCAACGCAAAAGATGCAGCGATCGGATTCGTACGAGAAGGGACGGAGGGATGCGAGAAGCGAGATATACTCAGACGTAGATATAGATAGCGAGCTGGTGCAGTGGTCACGATTCGAAGCGCGGCGATGCTGGTGGTGGTGACGCGTGAGTGCGAGCTCCCGTATTTGAATACAATGCATTATATTGTCCGCGACATATCATATATCTCTGCCCTGCTAAATAAACGTCGTTTCAATATTTAGACTTTCGCGGACCATATATATATACGCCTGATACGAATACAAACGCAGCCGTTGCAGTAGAGCGTAGCCTCGCTGCACTGCCTGCATACGTATAGAAGAAGCATTCGAGAGTGGAAGAAGCTTGCTCGTACCGTACGTATACATAAAACAAGTAGCAAGAGAAAGAGAGAGAAAGAGAAAAAGATAAAAGTTACATGTTCGTTCACGTCGATAAAAATCATTGGGAGTGTAAAAGAAGAATAAAGCGTCGATATATGCATTTGGTACCAAGAGGTTGCACGCACAAAAAACTTTGCCCTCGAGCCTTGCACCATTGCTATGACATTTTGCATATTATGCATCGTTTTACAATCCAATATTTTGACTAAGCCTTTCATCTTTCGTATTCTAGGTATTCACCAAGAGGTCAAAAACAGTCCTTCGGTAGTTTTTCAAAAATTTAAAGTTGCAACATAAACTGATAATAGAAAAGCAATGCAATAATAATGTACTTCTGATCACCAAGAAAATCGTTTCGAAAGAAATAGGTCGATTATTAATTTATTATAATTATAAGGTAAAGACAATTAAAACGATGATCTCTTGCTCGTCACATAGAAGCAAGTATAAAGATATAGGTGTGTATGGGTAAGGCTCAGAATTTTTTATATAATCGTGCGTACGTATTTCACCAATCTTGACGCGCTCTTGGTACGATATAGTGCATAATAAGAGATTCAAAATTTTTCTTTGCGATGGCTAATAATTGATTCAATAGGATACAAAGTTTTATCTCTCACAAGAATTAAATCAATAATGTAAAATCAGATAATGTTTACAAAATTCCACAAAAACTAAATAAATGAAAATTTATATTAAAAAAGAATCGATGGGTTAGTAGCTGATAATTAAACATTAATTGACAGAGAAAAGTTTATAAAGCGAAACTGACTCAAATCTGATCAAGAAACATTTTCAAATTTTTTTAGAATTTTTTATGATTTTAGTTTTCAAGTGATTCAAGTTTTTATACAGCCAATACCTATCAAATTTTTGGATGTACATGCATTTTTCCTTACTTCTGCGACTCTTAAAAGCAACTTCTAACAATCAGTACCCACTTACGAACGGATTATTTTCTTCATTTAATTTACTTTTGCAACTCCAGACTTTTTTAAGAACTGCCCATAAAACGCATATCAAGCTCCTCTTTTATCTTCAAACTTCAAACCTATCAGAAGTTTGATCACTGATTTATGATGAATTTTGTTGCATGTACAGCTGTTTGGCCGATCATTCGTAATTTCTGAGTTGTTTAACGATTTCTCTCATATTTTTCTTGACATTTAGTTTGCTTAAATACGGTATTAAATTTAGTCTTTAGGTGAATAGTAATTTTTTACGATTTTTATGAAAATTGACATAATTTTTTGACATGAAAACAACTTGATGCTTGGAAAAATGCAATACGTTGAAAGTGAAGCAACAAGAGTAGTAGTAGAAGTAGTAGTAGTAGTATTGAAAAGGGTCGAAACGCGCGAAGGGTTGCGCACTATTGGCAATCTCTGAGTTCTGCACGTGCGACTCAAATGAACGGGAAAGAGGACCTTTTCCATTTCTACTCTGACAAACGGACGATTCTGCGACAATAGGTAAATGTGCGTCCCCCTTCTCTTGCGAGAATGAAGGCTCCAAGTACGTAACTTCGCATGCACAAATTTCAATGAAAGCAGCGCTACTACAACTGGCCTTCCAAACTGGCTCAATTCCAAAGCTGCGGACCGACTGTATGCGCTTGCTTTTGTTGCTTAAAAAAGGAACGGCTGCTTCGATTATACGTGCGCGAGAGATACGCGTTCTCTTAGGCATATCGGCGGCTCGCGCGAGCTTGCAAGCTCACATAAACAGATCAGTGCTCACGTATCGTATGGTACTGAGTCATAAAATGCATAGAAAAGACAGAAAAAGATTCGCTTTGTCTGCATTTCCGCAAAATTTTCAGATGCGGTCGAAGCCGATGCCAGACTATTTTAGATTTTTTTCCTTGGGCAAACTTAATTGAGTACTTACATTTTGCCCCACGCAAACTGCTGAGCCCGAAAAAACTTACAAAATAATTCTAGCGACGCTGTGTTTTGTATTAAGTGAGCTTATAGTGACAAATATTGTTAAGGCTATTTGTTTTCAACATTAGGATGAGATTATAACTTCAAAATTTATTCTGTCGAAAGCTTTTGAATTTATCGCGTCATTTTTTTCAAATTGCTTTACCAGGTATTATCGAGGGAAAACAGACTCGATTCGCGCACGCGCTATAAAATAGTTGATCGTCAAATATAGTCAAAGTTGCTGTTCAAAGCGAGAGTAGCAGATGTTTGAGCAGTTGAACATTTTGAATAATTCAGACCCATAAATCGTCCTTGAGTACAAGAATTTCGCACAAAATGTCTTTCCGCGTGCACAGCTCGTGTTACCAGGTATAACTTACAAAGTTAAAGTGATTATAATTTTCAACAAAAGTGACGAACGACGTAACGGCCCGTACGGCTCTCGAGTAGGTGCCGCTACGAGGCGGGAGAAAAATTTATATTCACACGCACGTGATGCAGCCAGGTCGGCTCACGCCTGTATACTACGCAGCTTTCGTGTGTGTACATATATGATGTATTTTTGCTCGCGAGTAATGCGTCAAGATAGCATCGGAGTTAGCAAAGCGTGGTAATTGTGACGTGAACTGGTACGTTCGAACTTGCTGTGAATATTTCATTTACTGCTTCCAGTAATCTGTTAACGTAAGCTCAAATAGAGCCCAAAATGGTACTTAAC